TAATTCAAGCATTGGAAACAACATTTGTCTTAGTAATGCAGTTTATCACAATGTTCTTTAAAAGGTTTATTTTAAAGCAATGCTGTTGTCCTAAATACTTATGTCTTGATCATCCAAATCTCATATCCCAGGTCGTGTCCCTCTGAAAGACTGTGGAACTCAACACTATTGAGTCTTATTCACCCTGGGGAATGAGGAAGGGAGCAGGGAAGGCTGCTGGTCTCAGTATGAAATTACCTATCTACCCAGAGACAATTTTGTTTCTTCATCCTCATATAGAACATTGCAGTTATTTTTGTTGGTGGTGTTTAACGCAAGTGCTTACCTGAATTCCAATTTCAATCATGTTCCTGGGTTTACGGCCCTCCTCACCTCCAGCCCCTCACTGAGGTCCAGTTCCTGCAGAGTTACTTCAGCATCACTACCAACATGTGCCTTCATGGCTGGGGGATGGAGGGGCAAACTCCTGCCATAACCCTTTGTAATTGTTATTTTCCAACACATGGAAATCTTTCTGAGTGTGTTTATAATAAATATTTGAAGCTAAATGTGTGAGTCACTGACTTCAAAAACCTTCACCATTGGGATGGAGAGGGATGTGGACAAACATACCACTGCCAGAGAGTGTTTCATTCCATTACCAGTATTAAGGAGGAAATGCACAGGCATGTCAGAAAGTTGGAGACCACATTTAACACATCGTTTCTGGAGGTTGCATTTGCCCCTGTGGATTGTATTCTCTCCCACAGAGAAGGCTCCTGTTTGATGCAGGTGAGGCTTCATTAGGGTTTCTGTCAGGGAATTTTCTTTCATTCCATTGGTGTATGTACCTGTGTTAATCCCGGATCACATGAACTTGTTTACTCTTGCTTTGTAAAATGTTTTTTTTCAATGTAAAAGAGTGAATCTTTCCTACATTTGAAGTGTTTTGGCTCTCCCACATCTCTTTTGTTTGGTTCTATATGACTTCTATTGTTTATTAAGTTAGAGCCAAAATTGCCTTGGAATTTCCATAGGTAATCTATTGTGTAGACACTTGGACATATTAAGGAATGTCTTTTTGTATCTGCTTTCTTTAGCATTGTGTCATTTTCATTATAAAGTCTTTTATTGCATGTGTATAATGGAATGTCTGTGTTATGTGTGGTGTGTTTTCTTGCTTTGGGCGGAAATACTTAAGGATTCATTTAAATATATATATATATATATATATATATATATATATATATATGTATATATTATTGCTTTTTTACAGAGAGGAGGGGAGAGGGATAGAGAGTTGGAAACATCCATGAGAGAGAAACATCCATCAGATGCCTCATACACACCTCCTACTAGAGATATGCCTGAAACCAAGGCACATGCCCTTGACTGGAATTAAACTTGGGACCCTTCAGTCCGCAGGGTGATAACTCTATCCACTGAGCTGAAAGGATTGATATTTTATTGGTCTAAAGCAGTGGTTCCCAACCTTCCTAAGGACGTGACTCAATGCAGTTCCTCATGTTGTCGTGATCCCCAACCATAAAATTATTCTCATTGCTACTTCATAACTATAATTTTGCTACTGTTAATGAATCGTAATGTAAATATCTGTGTTTTCTGATGGTCTTAAGGTCTACAGCAGTGGTTCTCAACCTGTGGGCCTTCGCTCTGGCCACCGCCTTCCATCTTTGCTCTGGCTAGAATCTGCCACCTTTGCTGCTGACTCCAGCTGGACTCTTCCATTCTTGTCTTCCCTGAAGACTCCAGCTGGAGTCATCTTCGTCTTCACTGCACCTGGAGTGCCGCTCCTGTAGACCCCTTTGCCCCCTGCCCCCCTCTCATAGCAAGCATCCTGCCCTGACCATCATCCCATGCCTGGAGCAGCTGGGTGGCAGGGCTGCTGACATTTTTGTCCTTCTAATTTGCATATTCCCACCTGATTAGCTGGTGGACGTCATGGAAGTATGTCAATTTGCATCTTTCTCTTTTATTAGTATAGATATGTAAAGGGCTAAGTGACCAACCTGTTGGTCCGGAGCACTGACAACTTGAAAATAAATATTGGTTCCTGCACATGCAATACATATAAAGCTCTCCCTGGCACCTATTACAGGGTGCTTTAATTATATAACACTATACTATTTTGACATGTATTTTTTTGTAGTAATGTAATTACTGCACAAATATTTCTTCTAATTAATTTACTTCGAATATGCAAGAATCCATGCACCAGGCCACCAGTATTCTTGTAACTCTGTCTTAAATATTGTTGATTTTAAAATTGTTTTGTTTCCCAAATAAAAGGAAAACTTAACAGGAGACATTCTAATATCAGTGTCCCATTAACTAGGTTATATGGACTACTAAAATCAAAATATTCACTTAAAAATGCCTTCCCACACGATCAGTGAAGCGTAGAGTACTTTATGAAGCCCCTTTTCTGGGATCATTTGCTGCATGTGAATTTATTGTCCAAAACTAGTATTTGCACTGTAACTGTAAAACATTCAACTTGCAAGTTATGCATGACCTGTAACTGTGAAAATGTGTTTAGAGTCTTATGGCCAAAAAGTAAATGTTACTGGGGGGAGGGGGGCATAAAAGCTTCATGAAATCGCTCTTCAAAAAAATAATAACAATAAATAAAAACGCTTTCACAGGACATTTCAAAGACCAAAATTTACAACCAGAAATTTTTTATCCCTTGAAAAATGCATAAATTTCTTTCCCAGTGTTGCGTGGGACCTAATCTCATCAGGTGCCTAACCATGAATGAATATCGATCTGTCTCTGACACCCCCATCTACCTGCTTCTCTAACTCAAGCTGCCTCTCTATTCAGATGGGGAGACAGGGAGGGGCTGAGAGAGCAGGCTGCCCTTCCCCTCCCCCTCCTCACTGAGGGTTTAAGGATCCAGGAAAATCACAGGCAGAAAGTTTCTGGTTTCAAACCCCATCTGTCCTTTTGAATTCTCTAAACTTCCCTGTGAGAATGTGTAACTGGCCTGTGAAGATCCTGGGAAAGACACCTCCCTGGGGAATGTGCAGCTGAAGGGCAGGCCAGCCAGTAGTTCTAAGCACAGCGTCTGGGATCTGGAAACTTCTGTGTGAATTTCAGATTCCTCCTCCTCTCTTTATGCTTTTGCCACAGCTGCCGTTTGTTCCATAAAACACTATGATTGTGCCGTCTGCCATGAAAGAGCTCTTGGCCCTCTCCTCCCTTTAAAGAAGTAAAATCATGCCAAAACCGGTTTGGCTCACTGGATAGAGCCTCGGCCTGCAGACTTTGGTCCCGGGTTCGATTCCAGTCAAGGGCAGGTACCTTAGTTGTGGGCACATCCCCAGTGTGGGTGTGCAAGAGGCAGCTGATCGATGATTCTCTCTCATCCATGTTTCTAACTCTCTATCCCTCTCTCTTCCTCTCTGTAAAAAAACAATAAAATATATTTTTTTTAAAAAGCAGTAAAATCACCGCCCTCCCTGCTCCTGTCTCTTCTCTCCTTGTGAATCCTGTCACAGCCGCGCCACCAGCCAAACCCAACAATGACGGGAACTCCCCCGGAAAGGGGGAGGGGCCCAGGCCGCCCCCTGGCTCCGCCCCGCCCCTCCCTCTGGCCCCGCCCCCGCAGGGAGGCGCATGCGCAGTCCTGGCAGCCGGAAGCGGCTGCGGCGGGGCGGGCGGCGGCCCCTGAGGTGTCTGTGCTTTAAAGCCGCTGCTCCCGGCCCCTCCCCGCAGGGAGGGCTGAGGGCGCCGCGGGCGCTGAAGTCCGTGTGGAGCCCCGCCCGGAGCCCCTCCCGGCGGTGAGTGCGCGTCCCGGCGGCTGCGCAGTGGAGGCGCTGCGTTCCTGTGGGGGAAACTGAGGCCCGGCCCGCGGTCTGTCCGCCGGTGGCTGTGGGCCCGCCCGCCGCGTGGTTTTCCCGCCGAAAACCGTCCCCGGGGCCGCCGGGGCCCCCGCGGGGCTGGAGGTCCGGTCAGTGGTTCCCGCCCTTTGCCCTCCCCGCCCGGCGCTTCCCGCCCAAAGAGCCCGGATGGCCCGGCCTGGGGGTCCGCGCCCGCCCTCCTGGCCCCATTAGTCAGGTCTGAGTGCCGGGGGCACAGGGCCAGGGGGTGGGCTCAGGGGGACGCGGTGTCCCGGAGGAGGGACCTGCCCCAGGGAGGGCTCTGTGGGAGCGGGGGCTGCGGGGCGGGGGCCGGGCTGGGGCCGGAGAGGGAGGGAGGGGGTGGTGGGGAGGGGGTGGCGGGGAGGGGGCCGCAGAGGATGGGGGAGCAGAGGGGGCGCAGCACAGACTGTGACAGGCAGCAGCGGGGCAGGGCGCGGGGAGGGAAAGACGCGGACGTGTGTGGAGATGGGAGCAGAGAGACCAGGAGAGGGAGCACCGGAAGGGAAATAGGTTTCAGGAGGTTCATGGTCCAGGTGTAGGGATAGAGAGAAAGAAAAGGGGGGAAAGATTTATTATTAAAAAAAATAACTTCATTGTTGAAAACTAAAATAAACACACAAATAAATAAAGGGAGGGGTAATTCTTTCTTGAAAACCTGCACATGTACAAGATTGTGTTGAAAACTCCAATCCCAACTACCCAGAAGTCTCAGGTGTTCTGGGTCTGAGGTCTGTACTCAGTGCTACTGAAAACAGCTCTGGGAGTCCCTTGCAGGCCCCAGGGCAGGCATATGAAAAGAAGGTAAGGGGTATGCCTTTGGGTTTGGGAGTTCAGCAGAGCAGTACATGTTCTCATTGTTGTAGGAGTTTGTAGAAGTTTTGGAAGGACAAACACATGAAGACAGATTAAAACACGTCCCAGTGTGGTCTCCACGTGGGAGCTCATTGTTCCTGACTCGCTCCTGTGATCAAGGATAAGAGAACTTGGCCTTTTTCTATTTCCACATCCTTCTGACTGTGAGTGTGAGGGGAGCTGATTAACAGGCTGTGTGGTCACCTTTGAAGGCACATTCTGTGACTCCTCAACCAAGTATCACCTGAGGAAACAACCCAGACCCCATCAGGACCAGGACCAATGGCTGCTTCTCAGGTAAAAGATGTGTCTTGAATAAGAGGCTGTTTGCTTTTCCTTGAACATCTGTTGATATATTTCTTTTTCCCTTCCCAAAGCTGTGTCCCCTCTCCCCTTTGCTGCCTGTTACAGTCTGTCCTGTTACCCAGAGCTGGCTGACTCTGTGCTGCTTCTCCCTCTGCTCTGTCATCCCTAAATCTCCCTTTCTGTCCCTGCACTCCCGCAATTATTTTCCTCAAACCAGTCTCTCTAAAGTGTCTCCCCCATTTCTGTTCACCAGGGCCACTTTCCCTCTCAGTCTCTCTGGGCCTCTATGTCTCCTCCATATTTCTGTACTTTTAATGTTCCTGTATTTCCAAGTTATTTTCCTTTCCTTATTCCCTGTTTTCTTCTTTTTTATTTTTTTATTTTTGTTGACTTCAGAGAGGAAGGAAGAGATAGACAGAAAGAAAAAAACATCAATGATGAGAGAGTGTCATTGTTAGGCTGCCTCCTTTACAACCCACTGGGGATCTAGCTCATAACCCAGGCATGTGTTCTTGACCAGAATTGAACCTGGGACCCTTCAATCCACAGGTTGATGCTCCATCCACGAGACAAACCTGGTAGTTTTGTTTTCTATTTTCTTTCGATAGTCATTGTCAGCAGTTTCTATATTTCTGTCTCTTTTTTAACTTGTGTTTATTGAGTTCAAAATGGAAAGGAGAAGAGAGACAGATAGAAACATCAGTGAGCAGAGAGAAGCATTGATCAGCTGCCTACTGCATTCCCCCCACTGGGTACCCAGTGTGAATCCTGGAGTGTGACCTGACCAGGAATGGAACTCTGCCCTCCTGGTTCAGAGGTCAAAGCTCTATCTCTGAGCATCACGGTTAATTCTCTACTTTTTCCCAGAGCCTTCTCTGCCTTCATTTTATGCAGTCTCCATAAGGTCAAGAAGCATTCCTACTTTTTAATGACTTGCAACTTTTCAGAACATCCCTTTTGTGACCCATGTTTGACATACCTAGTTTTAGGATGGGTTCTGAGGCTCTAGTATATTGAAGAAGGGAAATGTAGGTTTTAGGTTCAAGAGGCTGCAGCATCAGCTCTTGATCAGGGGTAAGAAAATGTACACTTTACTGCTCAGAATTGCTCAGCAAGTTGTAAAAGAAGGATAAATAGAAAATAGAAGACACTTGCTCACTAGATTAGTACAAAGACGTGGTAGTTAAATGTATTGTTAGCTTACAGAACACAAAAGGTACCCCTGGACTGATACTTGCAAAAATTAATCTTTATTTGTGATAATTTCCACATAATTATTTCTTTATTGAGGTATTTTTGGCAGTAATGTCATGGCAATGGTGACCTGACCTTCCAAGTGTGTGCCTCAGTCACCTGATGGCCATTGTCTCAGTCCACCTGATGTTCAGGTGGCATATGTGCTCCCCTCAGTATAGAATTAATAGTCTCCCTTTCTCAGGAACAAGGAGATAGTAGTGATTTAATGAATGTTGTGCAAAGACCATCACTTCACATATGAAAATGTCCCTCTTCTTAGTTTTCATTTGCTTTTGAAAAGGACTTTTCTTTTACCGGTAATTGGCTTTTGCATGGGACTTTTTAAACAACTAGGACTTGATTCTTTAAAATTTCAATTATATTCTCTACTCACAATCACAGATATATCCTACATCAGTGGTCAGCAAACTCATAAGTCAACAGAGCCAAATATCAACAGTACAACGATTAAAATTTATTTTGAGAGCCAAATTTTTTTAAAATATATATATTTTATTGATTTTTTTTTACCGAGAGGAAGGAAGAGAGATAGAGAGAGAGCTAGAAACGTCAATAAGAGAGAAACATTGACCAGCTACCTCTTTCACACCCCCTACTGGGGATGTACCCGCAACCAAGGTACGTGCCCTTGATCGGAATCCAACCTGGGACCTTTCAGTCCGCAGACCGACGCTCTACCACTGAGCCAAACTGGTTTCAGGGAGAGCCAAATTTTTTAAAGTTAAACTTCTAATGCCTCTTCTTCAAAATAGACTCTCCCAGCCGAAACCGGTTTGGCTCAATGGATAGAGCGTCGGCTTGGGGACTAAAGGGTCCCGGGTTCGATTCCGGTCAAGGGTATGTACCTTGGCATATCCCCAGTGGGGGGTGTGCAAGAGGCAGCTGATCAATGACTCTCTCATCGATGTTTCTAACTATCTCTCTCCCTTCCTCTCTGTAAAAAATCAATAAAATATATATTTAAAAAAAAAAAAATAGACTCTCCCAGACTGTAGTATTTTGTGGAAGAGCCACACTCAAGGGGCCAAAGAGCTGCATGTGGCTCACCTGCTGGGGTTTGCCGACCACTGCCCTACATGATCACTTAGAAAGTTCCCCAAAGTGATATTATTAATGTGTCTTCAGTTTCATTAAATTTCTACAATGTAGCCGGGACCGGTTTGGCTCAATGGATAGAGCGTAGGCTTGGGGACTGAAGGGACCCGAGTTCGATTCCGGTCAAGGGCATGTACCTTGGTTGCGGGCATATCCCCAGTAGGGGGTGTGCAAGAGGCAGCTGATCGATGACTCTCTCTCTCATCGATGTTTCTAACTCTGTATCTCTCTCCCTTCCTCTCTGTACAAAATCAATAAAATATATTTTTTAAAAATAAATAAATTTCTACAATGTAGCTCTCTACTGTGCATAAATTTTAAAAAAATATATATTTTATTGATTTTATACAGAGAGGAAGGGAGAGAGATAGAGAGTTAGAAACATCGATGAGAGAGAGTCATCGATCAGCTGCCTCTTGCACACCCCCTACTGGGGATATGCCCGCAACCAAGGTACATGCCCTTGACCGGAATCGAACCTGGGACCCTTCAGTCCCCAGGCTCTATCCATTGAGCCAAACCGGTCCCAGCAACTGTACCTAAAAATTTTAAAACAAATGTACTAATAAGAATAATTAATTCCCCGAGGGTGGTGTGGGTCAGTGATGGAAGGTTTTCCGTTTTCTTTTTTAAAATATATTTTATTGATTTTTTACAGAGAGGAAGGAAGAGAGATAGAGAGCTAGAAATGTCGATGAGAGAGAAACATCAACCAGCTGCCTCTTGCACACCCCCTACTGGGGATGTACCCGCAACCAAGGTACATGCCCTTGATCGGAATCCAACCTGGGAACTTTGAGTCCGCAGACCGACACTCTATCCACTGAGCCAAATCGGTTTCGGCAGTGATGGAAGGTTTTCATGTTGGTCCCAGGGCAAGTATCACTTGAGTACCTGTGGTAGACAGCCAATCCATGAGTTTCTCTCTCTTTCTCTCCCCCTCTTCTTTCCCTCTCTCCTCCTTTATCCTTTTGTTTCTCTACCTCCTTGATATACACTCTCCAAAAGTCAGTGGGGAAAAATTCTCCCAAGGTGAGAATTTACAACCATACAAAAGAAACAATAAGTCTAACTTGTTTTTTATCCTTATGTTTCTCTCCTTATTGTGTTTATACAGCACAAAGAGATCATACACAAATACACTCATGCAGATTTACAGAATCACTAAACCATCTTGATTTCATAGTTGTAAAATGTGTATCTCTGTACCGAAACTATTTACGTTATTGCAGCTATTTTTTCTTTTTCCCCCCCTCAAGTATTTGTTTATGGATTTCAGAGAGGAAGGGAGAGGTAGAGAGAGAGAGAAATGTCAATAATGAAACACAATCATGGATTGACTGACTCCTGCACACCCACACGGGATTGAGCCTGCAATTTGGTCGCAAGTCCAGACCAGATATCAAACCAGTCATTTCTTTGTCCATGGGTCAGCCCTCAATTACTGGGCCACAACAGCTGGACTATGTAGAATAATCTTGTTCTAAGTTTATTTATAGTAAATTTCAATGAGGATTGTGGTTTCTATGTGTTAAATTGCAGGAGAACTGAATTCCATTAACAAAATGCCATTAACATTCAGTTCAAAATTTTATATGAATTCTTTCTTGTGTTTTCTGTTCCTGAGTATTCACAAGTATGGGATGTGATGCAGAAACATTGGCATCACAAATCAAAAGTTAGCTAGTTACACATGTGGAAACACAGGCCCCATCTCAGAAACAGAATCAGAATCTATGTCTTTACAGAATTTCATTTTGTTGTGGTCTGCTTCACACTTGAGAAGAAGTTATATATGCCAATCTAGCATGCTATTTCCACCTGAGAAATATACTCCACTGACCCTGAATGATGCAGATACAGCACTCAGAAATCCATATGCCTTTATCCATGCCTTAATTTTATTTCATTTTGTTTATTTTTTCAGTATATTTTTATTGATTTCAGAAAGGTAGATAAAGATAGAAACATCAATAATGAGAGAGAATCATTGTTCGGCTCCCTTCTGCACACTCTACTGTGGATGGAGCCCGCAACCCAGGCATGTGTCCTTGATTGGAATTGAACCTGCGACTCTTCAGTTTGCAGGCGACACTCTTACCTACTGAGCGAAACTGACTATGGTCCTGTCGTAATTTTAAAGTTTTTTTTTTTTTTTTCTCCTGTAAAGTGAAATCTGTATTATGGATGTGTGGACATATGTCAACCTCAATTGTCAGTGTTAGAAAACACATCAGAGAAGATTACTGGGGCAAAGGGATCTTATTTGGTGATTTAGGAATACTCTTATAGGTACAAACCTTATCTCCTAACACTGTTTTCGTGTTGGGTGATGTTGAGAACTCTTCTGGTGACTTCTTGGTAAATGTGTTTTCTTTTAGGGACTGTTGACCTTCGGGGATGTGGCTATAGATTTCTCTCAGGAGGAGTGGGAATGCCTGGACCCAGCTCAGCAGAAGTTGTACCTGGATGTGATGTTGGAGAACTACAGCAACCTGGCCTTTCTGGGTGAGGATGCCTCCTTCGGAGTTTCAACTCCACCCACAGGGTTTAATTTCCTTTATTTTAACATCTCTAAAGGGTTTCTTCTCTTTGTGTTAGATACTTGCTTTAGAGGAACAAATTGGGCCCTAGCTGGTTTGGACCAGTAGATAGGCTCAGTGGCCTGTGGAGTAAAAGGTCTTAGGTTAGATTCTGGTTATGGACCAATGCCTGGGTTGCTATTTTGCTTCCCTGTAGGGGGTGTGCCGGAGGCAATGCATCAATGATTCTGTCTCATCACTGATGTTTCTATCTCTTTTTCCCTCTCCCTTTCTCTCTGAAAGCAATAAAAAAATTTATATATTTTTATGGACGAAGAAATTGTGGTTATGAAAGAAAGGCTTTGTGATTTATGCGAATTAGGAGCTCAGTGTTTGCACACTTTACATATTGTCTTTGGGACTTAAAAGTCCCATCAGAAAATAATACTTTAAAAAAAATCATTTTCTAGAATATTCTAAGATTCTTCCATGTCTTTGGTCATAGAACAACCTGGATTGGAAATGGGAAAGGATCTTATCAAAATTCACACTCCATTTTCTTTTCTTTTTTAAATTTTTTTAAAGATCTTTTTTATTTCAGGGAGGTAGGGAGAGTTGGATAGCTGGGTATTAATTGATTTTTTTGTACATGCCCTGACCTGAGATGAAACCTTCGAATTTGGTATATCAGTCTGATCCTCTAAACAACGGTGCTATCTGTCTAGACACATTGGATTCTTTCACGTAGTTCTATGTATCTAGGCTTCTATCATGTCTTTTCATAGCTTGATGTATGACTTCCTTACTAGAGGCACAGTCCACAAAATTTGTGCACTGAGGAATTGTCCCTCAGCCCAGCCTGAACTCTCTTCAATCTGGGAGCCCTCTGGGAATGTCTGACTTCTGGAAGTCAGACATTCCTCTCACAATCCAGGACTGCTTGTTCCTAACAGCTTGCCTGCCTGCCCGATTGCCCCTAACCATTTCTGCCTGCCAGCCTGATCACCCACTAACCGCTCTACTCATGGCCTGATTAACACCTAACTGCTCCAATGCTGGCCTGACTTTTCCTCATTGTACCTATCTTGAGGTTTCCTTGAATACTTCACTGGCTCTTGCAGTACTGAAAACTGTCATTTGGCTTATAGTTGCTGATAACTTCAAAGTGCACTCACCTGATTGTCAAAACTGAATTGTTTTCTTTCAGCTATGTCATCTGAAGATTACCAGGCCTTTATGCCAAATACTGGAATACCAAATTTATTCTCTGAAATAATACTGGTAAGACATAAAAGGTGTTGATTTGATAATGTACACTTAATGAAAGTCTTGGGATTTGGGGAAGTGTGACAAGAAGATAGAATATTATTATAAACAGAACTAATCTGGAACAGTTATCAGAATAAAATACTTTTTACCTAAAGAGGTAAAGTGTATTATGCAGTTGGGAAACCTCCCAGTTTAAAGTCAATGATATTGGCAGGTCAGTGTGTTTCTGCACATGGAAGTCGAAAACAACTTCTTAAAGCTATGAATTCTTTATTTTTTTTTTATTTTTTTATTTTTTATTTTTTTTTATATATATTTTTTAAAATATATTTTATTGATTTTGTACAGAAAGGAAGGGAGAGAGATAGAGAGTTAGAAACATCGATGAGAGAGAGTCATCGATCAGCTGCCTCTTGCACATCCCCTACTGGGGATGTGCCCGCAACCAAGGTACATGCCCTTGACCAGAATCGAACCCGGGTCCCTTTAGTCCCCAAGCCGACGCTCTATCCATTGAGCTAAACCGGTTTTGGCTATGAATTCTTTAAAAGGAAGTCTGGATAAACTAGGAATTCACATAGTAGTGTAAATAATCATTTGAATTGTTTAAAAGGTATAGTGGGATTAAATTTTCATGCAGTCATTTCTAAAATGTACATATTTATACTGTACCAATAAAATTAACCTGTGCTCAATTTGGCATTAGTTTATGATTTAAAAAACAAACAAACATTTTTGTTGATTTCACAGTTAGGAGGAGGATGAGATTGCCAAAAATATCAATGATGAGAGAGAATTTTTCATTTGCTGCCCCCTGTATGCCTCCCACCATGCTCTAGTCCTACAACCGGGGCAGGTGGCATGACCAGGAAGGAACCATCACATACTTGTTCATATGTCAAAGCTCAACCACTGAGCCATGCTGGCCAGGCAATTTGGCAATCTTTTAAACAAGGATTTAATATTCTTCCTCTGACTACTAATGTTTTGTATTTATTTCTTGACAATAATTTTAATAAATTAGTAGAGCTTTTTTTTTTTATACAACCATCTTGGTTTAATGATTATCACAAAGTTGATCTGATGGAACAAGTGTGCATGTTTAATGAATTTATAACTGTCACTAAAGGAATTTCTATCTCCCATTAGCAGGGTATAGGTTTTGGAGACGGAAGTTATCAATGGAATGAACATCTGGAAAACTTTAAGCAAGAGTCATATCTTAATCATCATACAAGCGAGCTTGCAGAGAACCATTACAAAAGTGGAAAAGTCTTTGACCAAAAAATGTCCAGTCACATTATATGTCAGGTTATACCTGTTGTGAAGAAGACACACAAAGGAAATAAATGTGTCCAGTCTTTTCAGCAGTCATTAAATTACACCAAACAAGAGAATATTCATACCGGAGAGGAGGCTTATAAATGGAATTTGTGTGGGAGAGGCTTCAGTCAACTATCCAATGTAAATAGACTGCAAAAAATACGTAATCAAGAAAAACCTTATCCGTGTAAAGATTTTGATGAAACATCTCATTGGCCTTCAGATTATACTCTAAATCAAAGAATTTATACTGGAGAGATGCCTTACAAATGTGGAGAATGTGGAAAAGCCTTTGGCAGATCTTCATACCTTAAAATGCATCAGAGAGTTCACACAGGAGAGAAGCCGTACAAATGTGGAGAATGTGGCAAAGCCTTTGGTAGATGCTCAAACCTTACAATCCATCAGAAAGTTCATACTAGACAGAAGCCCTATAAATGTACAGAATGTGACAAATCCTTTGGCAGTTCCTCGGGACTTATAAAGCATCACAGAATTCATACTAGAGAGAACCCTTATAAATGTACAGAATGTGACAAATGCTTTGGCCGTTCCTCAGAACTTATAAAGCATCAGAGAGTTCATACTGGAGAGAAGCCTTACAAATGTAGAGAATGTGGCAAATCTTTTGGCTTACCCTCAAGGCATGCATATCATCAGAGAGTTCACACTGGAGAGAAGCCTTATAAATGCAGAGAATGTGGTAAAGTGTTCAGTGAGTCCTCGAATCTTAATCGACATCAGAGAATTCATACAGGAGAGAAGCCTTACAAGTGTAGAGAATGTGGCAAAGCCTTTGGTAGATCCTCAATCCTTGCTGATCATCAGAGAGTTCACACGGGAGAGAAGCCTTATAAATGTAAAGAATGTGGCAAGTTCTATAGCAGTTCCTCAATTCTTACGGTACATCAGAGAGTTCATACTGGAGAGAAGCCTTACAAATGTGGAGAATGTGGCAAAGCCTTTGGCCGCTCATCAGGACTTAGTAAGCACGAGAGAGTTCATACTGGAGAGAGGCCTTATAAATGTACAGAATGTGGTAAATCCTTTGGCAAATCCTCAAACCTTAACAAGCATCGGCAAGTTCATACTGGAGAGAAGCTTTATAACTGTACATAATGTACCAAATTCTTTGGCGACTCCAGGCCTTACTACACATCAGAGAGTTCATACTAGAAAGAAACCTTATAAAGAATGTCACTAGTCATTTGGTAGATTCTCAAACTTTACTAATCTACAAAGAGTTCATACTACAGAGTAGCCATACAGATGGTATGTAGTGTTGGAAATCCTTGACCAGCAGTGAGAACTTACTGAATATCAGAGAATTCATTCTTAAAAGAAGCCGTAGAAACTGAAAAATGTAAAAAAGCTTTAAAAGCCTTTCACATATGACTTTACCTTAGAGACTTCCTAACAGAGACTATACAAATGTAGCAAATGGGCTAGAACCCTTTTTTTTTTTTTTAAATAGTATATTTTATGGATTTTTTTACAGAGAGAAAGGGAGAAGGATAGAGAGCTGGAAACATTGATGAGAGAGAAACATCAATCAGCTGCCTCCTGCACATCACCTACTGGGGATGTGCCCGCAACCAATGTACATACCCTTGACTGGAATCGAGCCTGGGATCTTCTAGTCCACAGGCTGACACTCTGTGCATTGAGCCAAACTGGTTTTGGCTAGGCTGGAATCTTTACCCACAGTTTTAAATTTACTGAACACCAGAGATTTTATAGTGGAGGCAAGGCTTACACTGTAGAAAATGAGAGTTAGCCATTAGCCTGTGGTGATATTTACTGAACATTTTACAAATCATTCTAAAGAGAAACAACAAAAATAAAGTTATTATGCAATGATTTAACCAATTCTGAGACATGTCAAAGTGTATATCCTCATTTATATGTCATACAACCTCTAATGATTATTACTGGATCAAAGCTCAGGACATATAAATAATGTAAAAAAAAAGCTTACTCAGTATGCAAACCTTACCCGACATCTGAATTCATACTAGGGTGAAACAATACAAATGTAGACCATGTCCTAAAGTCTAATCAGCATACGTTGCTTATTCCTCACATTGGAATTTATTCTAGAGAGAAATCTTAAAACAAGAATGTGGGAAATCCTAGTGTTGGACCTATAGTCCCAGTCTTATCAGGGATTGTAATTGGGTAGAAATTCTACATTTATAGTATAGGAGGTAGGACTTCTGTTTAACATATAAAGTTTATAAAACTCTTGAATTTATGCCTTGGGGACCCTTTCTCCCTCCCCAAGTGGAAGTCTATACTCTGAGAGTCTTTCCCTCTCCCCCCTCGTTAGTCTGTACTTGTTTTTCAATAAATTTCAACCTTTGCTATACAAAAAAAAAAAAAAAAAAGAATTTATGCCTTAAAGTTACTGTAAAGATGTAAAAACTTTACGCAATATGTAATTGATTGTGATTTTTAAAGTATCACTGAATTCACACTAGGTAAGATGCCAAAATGCCTTTTAGGTATTCCTACAACAATCTGGTCTTAAAACCACCATCCTGGCACATTGGGATTTCACTCCAACCAGCCAAAGTTACTCCTTGGCGAGAACAAAATTAATAAATATTTTTGTTGTCAGTACTCACCTGAGGCTATTTTAGAGAGTGGAAAGAAGGGGGATAGATGCACAGAAACATCAGTGTGAGAAAGTCATATTGATTAGTAGATTATTGGCCAGGGATCCAGCCTGCAAGGTAGGAACCAGAATTAAAGCCAGGACTCTGAGTCCATAAGACAAGGCTGTATCCACTGAGTGACACCAGATAGGACCCGAATTAGTGATTCTTAAGCTAAAAATATGTACCAATGTGCTCTTCATTGTATATATTTCACAGGTTTGTTATACATATTTGACAAATCATTCAAAAATAGAAAAAAGAAAACAAGAAATAGAGGATTCGAGAGACAGGAGGAACAAAATAGGTTATCATTATATAAGAAGTAATCTTTCTTGCGTAGCCTATGTTGCTTACTGGATGAACATTGATCTATGACCCTGAAGGTCAGGTTTGATTCCTAGTCAGGGCACATGCTCAGGTTTCCCCTTCAATCCTCAATAGGCATGTAGGAGTCAGTGGAACATTGATACACTGTCATTATTGATGATTCTCTCTTCCTCTCTGAAATCAATAACATTCTAAAAAGTAAATGTAGTTTCTCTTTCTTTACAATCTTTATTTAAAGAGTTTTCCATTGATCTTAGAATGGGAGGGATAGTGGGAAGAGAGACACAGAGAAACATCGATATGAGAGAGACTCATCAATTGTTTGCCTCCCTCAGGCACACAGGGCAGTTTGGAGACCAAATCTTCCACTCTGGTACCAGAGCTGACTGAGAATCAAATGTGTGACTTTGTGGGAGGGACAACACTCTAACCCACTGAGCCACATCTGCTGAGATGTAGATTCTCTTTGAAGAAACTTAAATTAGCAGCTGGGTGCACTAAATTCTTGCATGCTTGGCAGGTGCGTGTCCCTCAGGTCAACATGCAGCCTATTCAACCTGGTACACCTCGAGTGATATCTTTTTGCTTATTTAGGCCCAATTCCACCTAAAGACACAGTCTTATATCCCTCTCACAATCCAGGACTACTGGCTCCCAACTGTTCGTCTGCCTGGCTCCCTGATTGCTCCTGACCTCTTCTGTCTGCCAGCCTGATTACTTCCTAACGACTCCCCTGCCAGCCTAATAGACGCTTTACTGCACCCCTGCTGGCATGGTCCCCAGCATTGCCCTCCATTGCAGGCCTGGTCACCCTAAGTCCCCTCCCTTGCCAACCTTGTTGCTCCCAACTGCCCTCCCCTGCATGCCTGATTCTCTTTCAACTGCCTTGCCCATCAGAACCCTTGAGTCCGCAGGCCGACACTATTCAGTGAGCCAAACTGGTTTCGGCTGGTCTCCTTCCTTGGGATCTCTGGACACTTTCACCTCTACGTACCCAACATTAGTCTTGTCTCACTGAGCCATTAAATCCTATGGCCAGCATTCTCTTTCCCTTTAATGCTCTGAAAACTGCTTTGACCTCAGCGCCTTCTCACCTCCCCACCTCACCTTTCCCAAAGAACAACTTTCTTTTCCTGCACATGCTTATCAGTTCAGCTATTATCAGAGGCTGAGTGCATTATCTCCCAAACCTTAGCATGTTATTTCTGAGGGAAAATCTGGCAGTTTTCATTCCAAATGGCTAGTGGCCTAGGTACAGGCTGCAGGGCCTGCTCCCTCCTCCCCCTGCCTTTTCTCCAGTCTCATATACCTATATATAATTGTCCAAAGTCTTTATTACATTAAAGCCTTTGGAGCATTGCTGGGTTAAATGATAAACTTATAAATATTTTACAATAGCCTATAATACTGAAACATTGCTAGACACACATTACAGAAGGTATCTTGTAATTTGTTGAATGTATGTTTTCTTGAAAGTAAGAGTGTGCTTCAAGAGTGTAAGTAGCCAAAACCAGTTCGGCTCAGTAAATAGAGCATTGGCCTACAGACTGAAAGAACTCAGGTTTTATTCCAGTCAAGAGCATGTACCTTGGTTGCAGGCACATCCCCAGTAGGGGGTGTGCAGGAAGCTGCTGATTGATGTTCCTCTCTCATAGATGTTTCTAACTATCCCTCTCTTCCTCTCAGTAAAAAAATCAATAAAATATATATATTTTTAAAAGAGTGTCGCCGAAACCGATTTGGCTCAGTGGATGGAGCGTCGTCCTGTGGACTGAAAGGTACCAGGTTCAATTCTGGTCAAGGGCATGTATATTGGTTGCGGGCACATCCGCAGTAGGAGGTGTGCAAGAGGCAGCTGATCGATGCTTCTCTCTCAGCGATGTTTCTAACTATCCCTCTCTCTTCCTCTCTGTAAAAAATCAATAAAATATATTTTTTGAAAAAGAGTGTTGATAAATGTTAACCTAAGGAATATTGGCTATTTACTTTTTGGTTATCTTTAAAAAATCAAGGTTTCTGCCGAAACCAGTTCGGCTCAGTGGATAGAGTGTTAGTCTGTGGACTGAACGGTCCCTGGTTCGATTCTGGTCAAGGGCATATACATTGGTTGTGGCACATCCCCTGTGGGGGGAAGGAGAGGTGCAGGAGGCAGCTGGTTAATGTTTCTCTCTCATTGGTGTTTTTAGCTCTTTATCACTCTCCCTTCCTCTCTGTAAAAAAAAATCAATAAAAAATATATATATAAAAGAAATGCTCCAAACAAGGTATACAAGAATTTTTATGTTGTTCCTTCTTTATTAAACAGTGAGAGGCAAAATAACTTATTGGAATATAAAGATACGAGCTGAATGAGCATAATACTAATGGAGAAAGGGTGTTTTCATAGAACCAGTATTATCCCCCATCCCATTTCCATTTGACATAGATCAAAACATACCATTGGCCATTTAATTAAAAAAAACCCTGCAAATTCTTGTGCACATACATCAGTTACTTTACATACAATAAAGGGATGGGAAGGAGAAAGTGAAAGAATAGAGAAAACTACTGTATTAGATGTTTTGAAAGCAAATTTCAGGGTTGTTTTGTTTTATTTTTAAAAATATATTTTATTCATTTTTCACAGAGAGGAAGAGAGAGGGATAGAGAGAAACATCGATGAGAGAGAATCATCGATCAGCTGCCTCTTGCACCCCTCCTATTGGAGATGTGCCTGCAACCAAGGTACATGCTCTTGACCGGAATCGAACCCGGGACCCTTCAGTCCGCAGGCTGATGCTCTATCCATCGAGCCAAACCGGTTTCGGCCCAAATTTCAGTTTTTTAATTGAGATTGTCTTCTTGGTCTTGATGCCCAGAGATCTGAAATACAGTAGCAGTTTCCCTTTTTTACAGAGAGGAAGAGAGAGGGATAGAGAGTTAAAAGCAGTGATGAGGCAGAAACATTGACCAGTTCCCTCTTGCAAACCCTCCTCTGGTACATGCCCTTGACCAGCATCAAACGGGGACCTTTTAGTCTGCAAGCCGATGCTCTATCCACTGAGCCAAACTGATTTTGTCTACTGCTGTCTACTGCTGAAACAAATCAACTGTATCCTCATCCTTCATTTCCAACTGTGCAGGTGTGTCTGT